GTGACTACACCACTGCACTCTAACCCAGAGTAAGACCCTGTCTCCAAAAAAAAAAAAACAAAAAAAACACATAAGCCCAGTCTAATCATGAGAAAAATATCAGACAAATTCCAGTTCAGGGGGATCCTGTACCTGATCAGTACTCTTCAAAACTATCAAAGTCATCATAAAAACAAGGCAAGTCTGAGAAACTGCCACAGCTAAGAGGAGCCTCAGGAGACAAGGTAGCTGCTTATTTGTCAACAAAAATGTTTGACAACCTAAATATAATACGGTATCCTGGATGGGATCCTAGAACAGTAAAAGACATTAGGTAAAACTAAGACAATCTGAATAAACTATGGACTCTAGTTAATACTAGTGGGTCAATACTGATGAATTGTAACAAATGTACCATCCCAATGTAATAGGGGAAATTGGGTGTGGGGTATAAGGTCACTCTCTATACCATCTTCCCAACTTTTCTGTAACTCTAAAACTATTCTAAAAAAATAAAGTCTATTACTTAGGGGGAAAGAAAGGTTCTCCCTGAAGTTTGTGAAGCCCTAATTTGGAGCTCACAAAGCAGGTTATAGGAAAATGACAACTCTCCTCCAATACCCCGTTCAGGCCTTCAAAGGCAGTCCTGTAGGAGTAGCACTTGCCAAACTAAGTCAGCATAGATCCTCAAGGGAGGGGTCAAAGTTGCTACAGCTCAACTCCTGGCTCCTCTGAGCAGCACTAGAGGAAGGCCGGGGCTGGGCTGGGCCACGGCTGCCAGGTACTACAAGTTCTCATCTGGCTTTAGTTTCCACTGGGCTGAGCTGCCAGAGGAGGTGACGTGTCTGGAAGGAGACCTTGTCCCAAGACCACCATCTGCACAGCATTATCTTGCTGGGTTGCTTCAGGTCTAGCCCTGGGCTCACTGCACCTCCCTTTCCTCATCTGTTCATGGGATGGGAACAGGAAGTCCTTGCCCTTCACGGTGTTGCCCTCACAATTCGACAGGTCCATCAACTTTGGCAAGAGTTTACTTCGCACTTCCTGGCACATTGGTAGTATTTAATGTTGGCTCTCTACATCCCCTGACCCAATTCCTCCAACAGTCTCCAATTAGAAGAGCCCAACTGCTTTTCATTCCTTTATGAAATGGGGTGGTCACTGTATAAATCAATCACCTGAAGAATGCCAATAATCTCAGGCAAGAATTAGTTCAGATTTGCTATTGACCCACTGTCAGTATTTACACTTTAATGATATAATTGTGTTCTTCAAATTCACCCCTGAATTGATTCCATAGGTGAAGAAGGTTATTCATTACGGTTATAGCAAACTATTTGTAATAGCAAGAGATTGGAAACAACCTGAATTTCCTTCAAAAAGGAATAGACTGTTAATACTCATGTGTATTTGTGTGTGTGTACTACATGTCCCTCTGATGTTTGTATATATCTATATGTGTATATATACACACCCACACCCTTTGGAAGGATTACACAAGAGGGTAGTCGCTGGGGAGGAACTTGGGGGTAAGAGACGAGGGAAGACAGTTTTTACTGTAGAGCCTTTTGTATCTTTCACATTCTGAACCACATGGATGTATTCTTTATGCTCAAAGATGCTTAATAGAAGCAGGGAAAAAATGATCCACCCCTGTGGGTCACAGCTGTTGGCGTTGATTTGGGAGAACTGCCAAGTCAAATGGGTGGGACACAGTGACTCTGGAGTGGCATGGGCTCTGGTCACGGGGCATGATGCCGAAGGCCTGCAGCAGCTCAGAGCTGCACACGTGTCCCAGGACAAGCTGATGGGGTGGTGGGAACATGCACACACAGACAACTCCAGAGAGTCCAAAACCACCGTCCAAAGAGGCTACATTCCAAATTTGTAATCCAGGCAGCACAGGGTCGGGGTTAAGGGGCGAGGATCCTGAAGTCAGCTCCCTGAGGTCAAACCCAGTCCTGCCACATGCCCACCGGGTGAGGCTATCAGCAGTACACTCTCCTCTCGGGGCCTCTGTAAAGAGCAACAGTGACACAACTTACCTGGCACAGGTAGGCCTTAGGTGGTAAGTGAGCTATACATGTTTTTCTATTAAATATCATTGCAGTTCCTATTATACATCAAGAAATTACCATGGGCTCTTAAATTTAGTAACTGGAATTCTTCCAGTTACCCCCGGCAGTTGTTAAAATTAACTCATGAAGTGGAACCAGAGGAAATTACTAGGAAAACAAAAAAAGCTGAAGCTCAGCAGGGGACGTGCCTGTGTGTGAGCTCCTCCTGGTGGCAATGACACAAAAGGCAGTCCCAGAATCTGACATCACCAGTATCTGCCATCATTTCAGGTCCTCACAGGGGCAGGGGTCTACACTGCTCTCTACTGCTGTCCCTCACCCTGACGTCCAGACTGTCCCACCCCAGGCCTGGTGCCTAGGACACTGCCTGACACACAGTGGTCTCCTAATAAGACATAACTGAAAAACTAAACATAAATGGATGATCAGTTTGGGAAGATGAAGAGGTTGTAGAAGTGGAGGCTAGTGACGGGTGCACAACAGTGTGAGCGGACGCAATGCCACCGAACAGCACAGTTACAAGTGGTTAAAACGGTAAATTTCACATTATGTATATTTCCCACAATGAAAGCAAATAAATAAATGGTTGACGTCTAATCTCCTCTTTACCTGTTCTCTTAATTCTCCCTGACCACCCTTGGGCTGGCTCCTTTAGCACACCCTGTTCTCTAGATATCAACACGGCCCCCTTCCAGGTCCTCTCCAATCTCTGTGCTCCCTTTCCAGCTGGAATCAGCAGCCCCTGGCTTTGATTCCAGCTGCACCCTGAGCACTGCCCGCAGCTGTGACCTCCACCCTGGTGGCCCCCCGAGCCGCAGCAGCCTGCTCAACATCTCCGCCTGGAGCCCTCACGGGCCCCTCACCCCCAAGACGGTCAAGTCGGAGCTCCCCTCCGCGACTTCCTCCTCCCTCCCATCTCCCATCTCTGCCAGCAGCCCTTCCCTGAGATGCTCAGGTCTAAAATCGCGGCACGCCCCGTGATTCCCATCTTCCCCTGGCCTCAACTTCCAATCCGCCAGCGCATCCCACCGCTTTTCCTCCAAAGCACACCCTGTGCCCACCCCTGTTCTCTGCTCCTCATCGCCACCACCTCGCTCGGAGCCATCTTCGTTTCCTGCCTGGACTACTGCAGTGGCTGCTGCGCCTTCCCTCCCAGCAACGCATTTTCCTCCCAGCAGCCACAGCCATCATCCCAGCGGGCAGGTCTGAGCATCACGCCCCTGCTTCAAACCCTCCCAAACAACTCGGTGCTCTCGGGCTACGGTCCACATCGCTCGTCCTGGGTCACCAGGCCCCAGGTCACCTGGTTCCTGTCCACCCGCCTTCACCTCATGCTGGATGGAGGCTCCTCACTCGCCAGCCACAGCAGCCTTCGTGTTCCTTGTCCCACTGCCTGAACGCTGTCCTGTTCACAAAGCCACGCCTTCTCGTCCCCAACTCAGCCTACATGTCACCGCCTCTGAAAGGCCTTCCTGTCCCCAACACCTGAAGTGGCCCTGGCCGCTTTCTCCCGTGCCCTGATTCTTTGGCCAGCACGATCACTTTACCTCCATGTCCCTCACTGGGGACGCCAGCCACGCCGGCAGGGCCCTGGTCTGCCCCGCTCACCGCGGGCCCCCCAGCTCCTAGGACAGACCCGGCACAGAGGAGCTGTGCAGCAGTGAGGGGGCAAGTGACGAAGTCAACACAAATGGAGCCCATAATTTGGAAAGCCGCCAACAGGCAGAGTGGCAGGGACAGGTGACGTCTATGGAGGGGACGGGGGCAGAGGGACAGAACCACTGCAGCTTATTGCGGGGAGAAGACAACCTAACTACCGGTGACCGTGACCATTACTGCCGTCAACTCAGGGCCTGCAGCAAAGACGTGGCCCACGTGTGTGCCGGGAGCGTGACCTTCAGAGGGTGAGCCCACCCTCGCCAGTGCCCCCACCCGCGTTGTGCTTCATGTGAAAACAGCCTGCAACTCACCCTGAAGGAGGGGAGGGAAACAGTTTGAAAGTCACAAAAATATATTAAAACAGCCGTTGTCTTCGCTCTCGGCACCGGCTTTCCTTCCCGGTGCCTCTGCCCACCACCCGCCACCGACTTTCAGAGAAAAAGGTGTCCAGGGCGGGAAAACAGAGTCGCCCGGCCGCAGCCCCGGGTCTGGGGAGGCCCCTCCAGCCTGGGGGCGGAGGGTGCCTAAGAGTCTCTACAGGCTCGACGCCACCGTCGACGAGGGGGCCGCTGGGACGCCAGAGGAGCAGGAGGGTCAGGCAGGACGCAGCGGACAGTCGGGCCTTGCCACGGGGACAGAAAACAGAAGAGAAATGAACAGAGTGAAGGGGGGAGAGAGGCTAAAGCAATGGGGGGAGGCACAGAGGAGTGCGGGAAGTCGACGGGTAGGAGGATAAGGGAGCCCCCCAAGGTGGCACCGCTCTGTGGGTGACGGGGGACGGGAGGCTGAGGAGCTGGGGTCTGGGGCAGCAGACACTGCTGCTGAGAGGGAGGGAGGGGAAATGGGGGAGAGAAACGAGCGCTTGGCACTCGAGAGAGGTAGAGATGTGGGTCCGCCAAGGCCACAGGGAGGAGAAAACAGAGGACACGAGAGAAGGAGAGTCCCAGAGCGGGCAAGGCCAGGCCACACCATGCCAGACTAGGGAACACGGTGAGTCCCCAGAACACTCGGGCCCGGCTTGCGTGCCGGAGGAGACAGCAGTGTCATCCAGGAGCTGGCAGGAGGGGAGATGGAACCCGGAGAGGGGCTGGGACAGACACCTGCAGGTTCTGCCGCCTGCACCCGCCCCACACATGGGCTAGAAGGTCCTGCGGCCCAGTCTTTTGAACACGCTCACGGTGCCCGTGTGGTCCATCTGGGCACCAAGGCCCTCGCTGGAGCTGCTCCCCCGGGGCCCCACCAGAGTCCTCTTAATGGTGACCTTGACCTCAGCTGAGGACTTACTCTTGGTGCTCGTGACCTGGCTGTCCTGGGCCTCAGGCACAAGGGCGGCCTTGCCCAGTCTCTGGATGATGCTGACTTTGGACAGGGACTCCTCCGGTTTCCTCTCAAGCCCAGGGCGTGAGGAAAGCGCCAGGCGCCGCAGTGTCGGGGCAGTGGCCGTTGTCGCTGAGCTTGTGGCCTTGGCTTTGACAGTCAGTGCCGGCTTGGGACTGGCCTTGGCTGGGCCCCGTCCCAGCTTCTTCAGGACCCCAGCATACTGCAAGACAGAGCTGCTGCTGTCGTTGTCACTGTCCCAGGCCAGATCCTCATCCATCTCTGGGGTGGCCCCCAGGCGACTAAAGACTCCTGTGGGCTGCAGAGGTCAGAGATAGGAGAAGGAAGTCATTCAGTCACTCAATGCACATTCATGACGAGCTGCCTCCTCTGTGCCTGGCCTCTTGGGACTCACAATTGGGAGAAACACCCATCAGTGACGCCTAGACAGTGGGGAGAGCCATGACAGGGGCTGGGAGCCCAGAGGAAGCATCTAACCTTGCCTGGACACTCAGGGAAGCTTCCCTGGGAGAGGGGACATCTGCACTGATACCTGAGTGTTAAATGGGTCTAACACAAAAGGAAGAGAAAGGTCGTGCCATGCAGAGGCACGATCACGTGCAAGGTCTATAGGTGGGCATGAATGGGAAGATTAATTTGGCCATTCACTTGACAAGTATTTCCTGAGTCCCAGCTCTGTACCAGGCCCTCAGCTGAGCAGTGCTGGGGATGCAGTGATGACCAAGACAGCCCCAGCTCTGCCTCATGGGGCTTACAGCCCAGTCAGGGAGACAGACTTAGCATCAGAAATGACACAACAATTCCGTAAGGATGACAGTGATGCATTCTATGAAGGACAACAGAGTGCTACAGGGCAGGGGACAAGAATGGCACATCTCCTCTTAGAGTCCAAAGGACTTTCTCTGAGGCACCAACTTTAAAGCCAGGCCCTCCAGAATGAATCCACAGAGAAGAGAGCATATGCTAAGTTCCTGAGGCAGGAATAATCATCCTATGTACTGAGCACTCACTATGTGCCAAGCTACATGGCCGAATCTTCAAGCCACATGATCCTGCGTGTTATTATCGCACTTAAAAGATTCTAGAAAGGGAGAGAAAGCCAGAGTGGTTGTGCCCTGGCAAGCGAGGGACTGAGAGGTGGGAAACACAGCTGGGGAGCTCATGTTTAAAGAGCGCTCCTGGGCCGGGCACGATGGCCCATGCCTGTAATCCTAGCACTCTGGGAGGCCGAGGCGGGTGGATTGCTCAAGATCAGGAGTTCGAAACCAGCCTGAGCAAGAGCGAGACCCTGTCTCTACTATAAATAGAAATTAATTGGCCAACTAATATATACAGAAAAACTGAGCCAGGCATGGTGGCGCATGCCTGTAGTCCAAGATACTCGGGAGGCTGAGGCAGAAGGACTGCTTGAGCTCAGGAGTTTGAGGTTGCTGTGAGCTAGGCTGACGCCACGGCACTCACTGTAGCCTGGGCAACAAAGTGAGACTCTGTCTCAGAGAAGAAAAAAAAGAGCACTCTCTAGCACTCTGGGAGGCCAAGGTGGGAGGATCCCTCAAGGTCAGCAGTTCAAAACGAGCCTAAGCAAGAGCAAGACCCCGTCTCTACTAAAAATAGAAATTAATTGACCAACTAATATATATAGAAAAAATTAGCTGGGCGTAGTGGTGCATGCCTGTAGTCCCAGGTACTAGGGAGGCTGAGGCAGGAGGATTGCTTGAGCCCAGGAGTTTGAGGTTGCTGTGAGCTAGGCTGACGCCATAGCATTCACTCTAGCCTGGGCAACAAAGTGAGACTCTGTTTCAAAAATTAGTTAATTAATTAATTAATAAAATAAAGAGCGCTCACCACGTGCCGGACAGCCGGCACCGCACAGGCATCATCTCACCCAATCCTCACACGGTCCTTTGGGGTGGCTACCGTATAGATCAGGAAGCTGAGGTACAAGGGTTTAAGTGACATGGCCAAGGCCATGCAGCCAGGCCCCAGTGGACTTCAGGCTGTGCTCCTAACCACATGCAGGACTGCAGGCCGTGGCGACAGGGGCAGGCTTCTTCGTGAACACAGTGAAAAGCCCTCTGAAGGGCCTCGAGCAGGGGAACAGGACGGGCCCTGCCTGTGGGCAGCACGTGCTGCTGCTGTGGGGACGGGGACCTGCAGCAGGTTAATGGCGACTGTGCAAGACCAGCTAGCAGCTCTCGCCCTGTCCAGACGGGGAGAGGTGGCAGGGGAGGTGGAGACAGACGGGGTCATGAGATCGGTGACTGAGTGGAATGGAGACGGTGGTGGGCGGCCCTGACACGGGGGCCCGGGAGAGGAGCTGCTTTGGGGGAAGATGCTGAGGCCAGTTTGGGACATGGTGGGGGGAGACATCCAGGAGTCTGCCGGATCCCTGCGGCTGGAAATGGGGACAGGAGATGGGGCAGAAGACAGAAGGGAAGGCAGCCAGAGCAAAGAAGGGCGCTGAGGCCAGGAGGGTGGATGAGATGGGCCATGTGAGGGGTGAGAGGGAAGTGGCAGTAAAATGACACCCAGGCAACACAAGAATTGGCGAGCCCAGAGCTGCTCCCCCATTCCCAACTCACCTTACTCCCTGTCGTCGTGTCTGCCTTGGTCTCCGCGCCGAGGCGGTCAAACACGGATGTCCTGTGGAGACCTGGAAGGGAAGTGAGGCCATCAGGCGGCGCCTGCTGAGCGGCGCCCATGTCAAGCACTGTACGGACACCACAGGCGGTGACACTGCCAGCCCAGATGCCAGCCAGCTCCGGGACAGATTGCACGGAGTCAGGTTTGAGTCTACGCTGTCGGCTCACATTGTCCTGAGCCTGCCCGCAGATGGCTGGTGTCCGATGTGAGAAAAATTGGCTAAAACGGACACACACATCCCTCGCACCGCAGCACAAGCTACAAAATGTGTGCGTGGGACAGTTCTTAATCCCTACTCGTCCCTTTCACTTCTTGGGGTCATGGTCTCCAAGAGAATCTGACGAAAGGCAGTGAGTCCTCTCCCTATATTGTAACCTAAATGTTGGTCAGCTAGAGAATGTTTACTAAATTATGTTATATAAATACTACGGAAATAATAAATAACCATTAAATAAAGAATGACGAAGGTCTACAAGCACTAATGCAAAAGATCTCAATAAAAACGTTATAGAACAATACTTACAGGATGATGCTTTTTGAGTTTAAAAAAGAAAAAAAAACACCTATATACCTGTACATACACATGCACAGATGCTAGTCTGCAAAGGTTAAGAAGAGACAGGGGACATGGGAGTGAGGGGAGATGGTTTTACTGTATATGTTTCCACATCATCTGAAAGTTTTTCCATGAGAATGCACACAGACAGTCCCCATCTTACAATGGCTTGACTTACAATTTTTGCCTTTAGTATGGGGCAAAAGCAGAACATTTAAGCTAAGCCTAGGCGTCCTTCAAACTACGGCCCACGGGCCACATGCAGGGGTTTTTGCCCATTTGTTTTTTTACTTCAAAATAAGATATGTGTAGTGTGCATAGGAATTTGTTCATAGTTTTTTTTAAACTATAGTCCAGCTCTCCAACAGTCTGAGGGACAGTGAACTGGCCCCCTGTTTAAAAAGTTTGAGGGCCGGGCGGTGGCTCAAGCCTATAATCCTAGCATTCTGAGAGGCCGAGGTGGGCGGATTGCTCGAGGTCAGGAGTTGGAAACCAGCCTGAGCAAGAGCAAGACCCTGTCTCTATTATAAATAGAAAGAAATTAATTGGCCAACTAATATATATAGAAAAAATTAGCCAGGCATAATGGCACATGACTGTAGTCCCAGCTACTCAGGAGGCTGAGGCAGGAGGATCGCTTGAGCCCAGGAGTTTGAGGTTGCTGTGAGCTAGGCTGACGCCATAGCACTCACTCTAGCCTGGGCAACAAAGCGAGACTCTGTCTCAAAAAAAAATAAAAATAAATAAAAAGTTTGAGAACCCCTGGCTAGGCTAAGCTACGTTGTTCAGTAGATTAGGTGTATTAAGTGCATTTTCGACTTACGATATTTTTAACGTAAGATGGGCTTATTGAAACACAACCCCACCGTGAGTCAAGGAGTGTGTGTAGGATAGTCTAAGACAATCCCACGGTAAGGAACACCATCTCTGCACTACCAGCTATGAGCCTTAGCTTTGGACTGGATCACAACTGTCTCCTCTGGCTCGTAACAGCGGTGCCCACTTTGGGGCCCTTCCCCTTGGTCAGGCACGGTCACGGTCACTCACCTTACAGGCAGGCCATCACTGACTCCCTGCCCTTGCCCCTCAGGGGAGAGGTACTGAGGAGCCCACCTACACTAACTGCAGCATGACAGGTGATGTGGCCCCTGCTCTGCGGCCACCATGGCTATCCCCTTGGCCCAAGGCCCTGGATCGGCATTAGAGCCTGCTTCTCAGCCATCGCCTGTAGGGCTTGACCAACCCCGTACAATGCAGTAAAGGTAAACAGTCCCCACACTGAAGTGTGCCTCCCACGAGCTGGTACCTTTTGCTGCCTGCTGCTGCTCCAGGATCTTGCGGGTCCGGGGGGTGGTGCCTTTGGGCATGTTGATGATGTATTTCCCCTCCATCTCAGCAGTGACCCGGCGCCGCTTCGCGGGAACAGCCAGGCTCTCCTCTTCCCGGCGGGCTAGCGCTGCTAGGGGAGGAAGGTGGGGGTTCAGCACCTTCTGAGATGCAATGTTCTCCTGGAGCAGGGGCCAGACACCAGGCAAAGGGCACACAGGTGCCCTTTATTTTTTTGAGACAGAGTCTCAGTCTGTTGCCTGGGCTAGAGTGCCACGGAGTCAGCCTAGCTCATGGCAACCTCAAACTCCTGTGTCCTTCTGCCTCAGCCTCCCAAGTAGCTGGGACTTCAGGTATGTGCCACCATGCCTGGCTAATTTTTTCTCTCTATATTTTTTTAGTTGGCCAATTAATTTCTTTCTATTTTTATTAGAGATGGGATCTCGCTCTTGCTTAGGCTGGTTTCAAACTCTTGACCTTTAGCGATCTGACTGCCTCGGCCTCCCAGAGTGCTAGGATTACAGGTGTGAGCCACCACACCCAGCCTACAGGTTCCCTTTAATGCATTCGCATGTCTACAATCCCTTTTATTCCCAACCACCCACATCGCCACTGACTGGACCACTGAGAAACTTAAGAGTTCTGGGCAACGTGAGGTTGCAGAAGGCACTTGGAATCCCCAGGCTGTGGTGGACCTCCCAGGCTCTCAGATAGAGAGCCTGCAGAGTGGTGGAAAGTTCTAGAGCTCCAACTAGGTAGCACTTTCATGGCTATGCTCCCTTTTTAACAAGTAATCGAGCTGCATACTTACAAGTCATGCACTGTGCATAACTAAACTTTACCTCAATATTTTTAAAAAAAGAACCGGTCAAATGTGTTGAGGGGTAAAAGAGCCAGTCGTTCCCTGGCTCACCATCTTTTCAATCCTTATAAACTCATTTTAACTTTCTTGTTCTTGGCACACGGATCAAAGGCCAGAGGGGTGAGGCACTTCCGAACACACATGACAAAGAGGAGACCTCACAGTGGAGGTGGACAGGGCATGATGGGAGTGGGCGTCAGAAACATGAAGCTCCCTGGGCCTCAGTTTCCACATGTGCCTAATGACACGGTAAGATTGCCGTTGTGGGGCTGGGTCCAACAAAGGCAGGAGAGTGTGGAGGACGGAAGGAGGGCTTGGAGCCCAAAGACTGGAGTCCCATCCCCAGCTTTCAAGCTGAGACCTGGAAGAAGAACAGAGGCCAGCCATGGGTAAGGCTGAGGAAGAAGGGCCCCTCAGTGGGGAGGAAGACGCAGGGGAGCTGAGCCAGCAAGCAAGAGGGAGGTACAAGACATTAATCCACATTACGCAGGGTCCTATAAGGCCACTAGGAGAAGACTGGACTTTCTTAATGGAATAATGGGAAGCCCTGAGAGTTATAGTCAAGGCTGTGATAGGATCAGACTGAAGGTCTTACAGGATCCTTTGGCTGCTAAGAGGAGGCAGTAGGTTCTTTACCTTTGACCTCAGGCATGGAGCACAAGGCCATGCACCAGTGGGGGGCTCACTGAACACCTGTTAAAAAAGACTGCACCACCAAGTGAGAACGGCAATGCACGTGTGTTCCAACACATCGTCTCAAGTGCTTCCTACCACCTTCCTCTCAGTAGTGTAGCACCACCCCCCACTACGGAGACATGGAAAGTGAGGCCCACAGAGTGCAGCAACTTGGTAAGTTCACAGAAGTGATTCAAGTCCAAACTCTTTGTATGCTCTGCGGCCTGCAAAGCACCTTACAGAGTTGGGAGAATAACCCCCAAATGCCTTCTGCCAACCCATATTCACCTCTAGCTCCTCTCACTTCCTGCCTGAGTCCCCTCACCTGCGGCCTTGGCACTCTTTGCTGCCATCTTGTTGGACACAGTGACTGAGATCTTGGACGTGCTGGTGTCTGGCCGCCTAGGGGGAGTGCCAGGTGGGGAGTCTCGGTTCAGGCTGTTGGTGATCATTCGGGAGGCGGCTGTGGAGAGAAAAGGGGAATCTTTTTGGGTGGGGTCCTGGGAGGTCGGCCTGAATCAGCAGTCTCAGGGCTAGGCTGGAGAAGGCCAGCCTTAGGATTGAATGAGGAAGGGTCAGCTGGTGTCACCCCTGTGGCTGTACTGCCCTCGTGATGGGGATGCTTGAGGTGGGGTGGTTTCTGTCCCTGTGAGAGCCTCCATGCACAATACTCTACCTGGCCGAGTACAATACGATCAAGATTTTTTGTATAAAAGGCAAGCAGTTGGCCAGGCATGGTAGCTCACGCCTATAATCTTAGCACTTTGGGGGGCTTAGGCGGGAGGATCACTTATTGAGCCAGCCTGAGCAATAGCAAGACCTCGTCTCTATAAAAAATTTAAAAATCAGCTGGGCGTTGGGGTGCATGCCTCTAGTCCCAGCTACTTTGGAGACAGAGGCCAGAGGATCACTTGAGCCCAGAAGTTTGAGGCTGTAGTGAGCTACAATGATGCCACTGAACTCCAGTCTGGACAACAGAGCAAGACCCTGTCAATCAATCACTAGCATGCAGTTGAGAGGGCCATGCCTCTTGTACTGTACCCAGCAGAAAATGTATTACTTAAAAGAGGTCAGATATATGATGTTTTATCATCCTGACTCGTAACCAGCATTTGAGGCTAAACAATCAACTTAATCTTTGCTCTACTGAATTTGAGTTGCCATCAGGGCGGCACAGTACAAAGAATTGCTCTCTTTTCCCCCTCCCAACACAAACACACATGTACAATGTTACAAAGCATATTATCAACAATGTTGTTTTTAAAGGCTGAGTCCCCTGGCTCACGCCTGTAATCCTAGCACTCTGGGAGGCCGAGGTGGGAGGATCGCTCAAGGTCAGGAGTTAGAGACCACCCTGAGCAAGAGTGAGACCCCGTGTCTACTAAAAATAGAAAGAAATTAATTGGCCAACTAAAAATATATACAAAATATTAGCCAGGCATGGTGGCACATGCTTGTAGTCCCAGCTACTTGGGAGGCTGAGGCAGGAGGATCGCTTGAGCCCAGGAGTTTGAGGTTGCTGTGAGGTAGGCTGATGCCACAGCACTCTAGCATTGTTTCTGGAGCATTCTTCCCCACAGAGGACTACAGGTGTATATCAGCACATCTGGGTAATTTTTTTTTTTTATTTTTTGTAGAGACAGGGTCTCGCTATGTTGCCTAGGCCGGTCTTGAACTCCTGGCATCAAGCAATCCTCCCATCTCGGCCTCCCAAAGTGCTAGGATTACAGGCGTTAGCCACCATGCTTGGCCCCCTTCTCTTTTTAACTGCCCACTTTCCTCACTAGTTTTCTGTGTATGTGTTTTATTTATTTATTTTTGAGACAGGGTCTTACTCTGTTGCCCAGATTAAGAGTGCAGTGACATCATCATCATAGCTCACTGCAGCATCCAATTCTTGGACTCAAGCGATCCTCCTGCCTCAGCCTCCCAAGTAGCTGGGACTACAAGTGCACACCACCACACCTGGCTAATTTTTTTTTTTTTCGTAGAGATGGGATCTTGCTACTGTCCAGGCTGGTTATGTGTGTGTGTTTTAATTTTTTAAACTTCTTTAAAACTATTAAAGACATTCAGAAAGGTATGAAAATTTAATTTATAAAGATTTAAAAGGCTGGCAAACTCATCTGTGCTATTAGAAATCAGGGTAATGGATACTTGGAGAGGGTCGTGATTGAGAGGGGACAAGGAAGGGGATTCAGAGTGGCTGGTCATGCTTCTGTTTCTGGATTTAGACGCTGGCTACAAGGATGTCCCGTCTGTAAAGGTCATTCAGCCGTACTGTTATGATTGAATCCTTTGCTGTAGGTGTGTTGTCAAGGACTGTTGCAGAAATGAACCCTAATCTGTTCAGCCTCCCCGTATCCACGCCTTTGGGTAGGCCCTGCTCACCCCGACTCTGGGCTTAGCCGTGTGACTTGCTTTGGCCAACGGTACAAAAGCAAATGTTACACAAGCAGAGGCTTAAGAGGTGCTTTGCGCACCAGAGCCTGCCCTCTTATGCTGCTTTTGGGGACTCCACAACCAGCACTGTGAGAACAAGCCCAGGCTGGCCTACTGGATAATGACAGACACATGGCCAAGTTACCTCTGTCGGTCCAGATGACATCAAGCCAACCATGAGATGCGAATGAGGCCATCAACCCAGCCTCGACTTAGCTGCCAGGTGACTACTGAGATCAGCTGAGCTGGCCCAGAGCAAAACTGACCAGCCAACCAATCAGATCATGAGAAATAAAGGTTTACATTTTAAACCCCAGTTTCGGGGTGGCTTGCCAAGCAGCAAAGGCTAACTAATATGTTAAATTTTTAAAGTTTATTTTAAGAAAAGGTATCATACTGCTTGAAAAAAGCAAAAGGATAAATACAATTAACATCTATTATTCACAGATTCCATACTGCAAATTTACCTGCTCACTAAAATGCATTTATCTCCCCAAAATCAATACAGGCAGTGATTTTAGTCAATTATAGACATGCATGGGGGAAAATTTGAGTCACTCAACACACATGTTCCCAGCTGAGGTCAAATAAGGCACTGTGTCTTCTTGGTTTAGCTCTCATACTGTAAACAAGTATCCTTTTCCTGGGTTACTTAATGCCACACATGTGAATGTTTTTCAATGTTTATGCCTTTTATTGGTAATTTTCCTATTTAAAATGGCCCCCAAGCACAGTGTTGAAGGGCTGTGTAGGACAGCTAAGTGCAAGAAGGGTATGATATGCCTTAAGGAAAAAACATGCATGTTAGATAAGCCTTGTTCAGGACTGAGCTATATTGTCATTGGCTGTTGAGTTCCATGATAATGAATAAACAATATATATTAAATAAGGTTTCTTTAAAAGGAAACATACATAAAATAAGGTTATGTATTTGACCAGCTAATGAAAATATGACTGGAGGCTTGCTAAAACCTAATACTCTATTTCCCCTAGGAGCAATGGTTCAGTATTCACTAATTCAGTGTATGTGGTGACTTCATAGAACACACTCGACTGTGTGTATAGCCACTCACTACCGTGTTTATTTTTTTCCCTAAGAGAAAAGGGTCTCAGATGGTTTTGTTTCCACCTCTGCAGACTGCGGGACAGACATAATGACCAAGTGTGTCCCCTTCACTGCTGGAGTGTAAGAATGAAGGAAAAGGGACCCGAACAGATGGGACTCACCACTAGAGGTGCCACGGCGAATGTCGCCTGGGAGGGGGCTGGGGCTGCAGGGCACTGACTCGGTGGCAGCTTTGCACATGTCCTGTAAAAAGATAGGCACCTCGGTCACCACAGCAGAATTGGGGACCTAGAGATATGAACAGTACCAGGAGGGTCAAACCTGACTTTACTCCTAACCATGAGAAGGCATCAGACACACCTAGACTGAGAGACAGTCTACAAAAGATCTGAACAACACTCTTCAAAACTATGAAGGCCATCAAAAAACAAGGAAAGACTATGAAACTGTCACATATCAAAGGAGATTAAGGAGACATGACAAGTAAACGCAATGTGGAATCCTGGACTGGACCTGGGAACAGATCATTGCTGGAAAAACTGATGAAATGCAAGTAGTCTATAGTTTAATCAATAGTAGTGAACTAATCTTAACTTTTTAGTTTTGACAAATGTTCCACAGCTATGAGAAATATTAACAGGGGAACCTTCATGAAAGAAATACAGAAACTTTCTGTACTACTGTTGGAACTTTTCTATCATCCCCAAATTATTCCCAAATTTAAAAGTTTAAAAAAAACAAACAATGTTTTGCTCAGTGACCTTCTCTATGACAACTGAGAGAATGTCCGGCTTGAGAAAGCCTCACTGTGGGGTTCTGTCCTAGCTGATAGAGAGATGAAGGCCTGTCGTGAAATGGAATAAGCCACAAAAATGACGCGAATACCCACAGCAGCTACTGTCTGTTAAAGTGGAGTGCTTGAGAACACAGCTCTGGAGTAAGTTTCCTTCGGGGTCAAGTGCAATGAGGAGTGACTGACTCCACGTGATAAGGGACGGAGAGGGCCTGGCCAGCACAGCAAGTGCTGGGTGAGTGTTAGCTCTGTAACTTAAGGAGCACTTCCCCCAGGCCTGGCAGGCAGGGCCTCGTACAATATCTGGTAGACGCGGCCACAGCCACCCTGCACAGCAGGGGTGTGAAAAGCCCATCTGAAAGAAACCAGAAGGTGGGTCAACTATAAGTGGAGGGGCCAGACTGCAATGGGCCAAACTGTCAGTCAAGTCCCCACCATCTGGGTCCCACATAGGAGCTCCTGTCCTGGACAGAGAGAGTCCTGGAGATGATAATGATCATGAGAAAGATAAGAAGTAGCAGTAATAGTAATTACAGAGAGTCTTTACTAAGTCCCTACTACAGGAAGTTGACACTGTGCTAGGACTTTATTTAGCTTAATATTCACAACACTCCTTCAAGATAGGTTGGCCTCTGCTTTTTACAGATGGAGAAAGTAAGGCTCAGAGAAGGTAGGCAACGTGCCCAATGTCACACAGCAGACGGGTGAAACCAGCTGGAACCAGTCAGCCTGCCTTTGCTGTCAGGCCACCTGCTGGCTCTGCAAGTGCCCCTCCACCTCCACACTAAACCAGGGACAGAGCTGGGCGAGGCACCACTGGCGGCAGCCACTTGGCATGCTTGAGAATGGCAATGATGTCGCCCACCACGTCCGCCCAGCTCATTCATGATTTCCTTGTTGAGATCCAGCAGCATGCTCTTCTGAATCCTGCAGGGGAGGGTCAGTGGAGGACCCAAGTGGCCAGAGTGGGGGGCCAGCGCACTCCCCACCTCCCCCCCAAGCTAGCCCTGTGCCTCAGCCACCTCACCTATTGTCCACAAACATCACAGCGTAATTGACAGCAGTCCTGGAGAATGCCGGCTTTCCTTAAAGAACTGGATCCACTCGGAAGTAGCTGGGAGATTGGACGGGCTCATTAGTCATGTCATTCTCTTTAGAGACA